CATCAATAACACAGTTGTATATGGAACTTAGATTTTGACTATAAAACCTGAAATACTTAATCTTAAATTATACCTGATCTAATAATTTCTACAATATAAAATTTAAACCAGAATCAAATCATATATTTAATTTATAATGAATATTTCTGGAATATTTGTAAGACTTGATCTATAAATTAATTAATTAAACTCCAGAATGATCGACTGGGAGTTGAAGTAGCAGATAATAGATTACTTGAACCCAAAACATACAGTCAAAATTGTAGAAGTTTAAAAATGAATTAAATTTTAAATATTATCACTATTTTTGTATTCAATAAATTAGGATAATTAGCAATTTTTTTCAATGAGTAACATTCTGAATCAAATCCATTTAAAATGTTTTAAGGCAGGAGGACGTATTCAATAATAAGGCAAAAGAGAGAATATAACCAACAGTCATATTTAATTAATTATCAATCAATGGCATATAATTATACATAATAGGTTAAATAAAATCATGGTCTATCTTCACATTATTAATAAATTATGACATAAATTTTATAATTTTTTTTATTAAAAGAAAGTTAATAAAATAAAGATTTTTTTTTTGAGGTTAGTAATTGATAATTATATTTAATAGAGCGACATTATTTTAATTTAGTTTAAAGTTTTGATGTAATAATCTTAAATAGCACATTAATATTGTTACATCTTTACTCCATGATAAATTTACTTATTAAATTTTAATGCTTTATCATTTGCATAAATAAGAATTTTTATTATCAAAGCGAATCGAAAATAATCAAACAATTGAATTATCAAGGTCATTCGAAAATAATAACACTTATTTTAACTAAAGAGAAACTCTATATCAAATCTTGAGTTTTGTTCTAAAAAATTCATACGGATTCTCAAATTAATCAGCTATCATCTATATTAAATGAATTTGAGTTGACTTTAATGCTTTTAAATGTTTTTTACTCAATGATTTTCATCTTATTAATTAAGTATGAAAATACATATATTATAAGTATTTTTAGTTTTCAAGTTTTATGCCTATTTAAGCACAAGCAATAATCAATTTTCTATTGATTAAGCCTGACAAAAAGATTGAATTGAAACCAGATAAATGCATGTATGTAAATATTTTAATCATTTACTAACAACAGTTTCTCCTAAAATATCAGTATACTAGATGAATAAATTTTTATAGAAGCAGGACAATTTATTTGTTCAATAGAACAAAGCAAAACAAAGCAATGATAACTATAAATGGTTTTAGTTTCTGCTAATGTGGATTAAAATAAATAAACCCAAAAAAGGATTTACAACTTTAAAGAGAGTTGTAAATGATTTACCTGAATATGTATAAAAAAATAATGTGGGAATGTTTAATCATTCAAAATTAAACCTCTTCTTAAGATTGGAGTTATATGGTTGCTGAAAAAATTAAGAAATCGATAGAAATCAATATCTTAAAATTCTTTCTTAGAGTTTTCAAAGGCCTAGATATGTTTTTCAAGATAGATTATGTTAAAATAATCAACTTAGGCTTTATTAGAGACTACAATTAAGATTATTGTGATGATTGTAAAAAAGTAATTAGAGATCTATTAATTTAATATTATTAAAGTTGAATACCTGCAGAGAATGGATATTAAACATCAACTTATTTATATTAATTTCCTATAACAAAGAAATAAAAGGCAAATAAAGATTATAAATTACAATAACTTGAAGATGAAAATCCAGGGTTGTTAATATAATGGCATTATTTTCAATATTCAATATGAACATAGAATAATAATGAAAAGCCAATACTTTCTATTTTTTCCCTCAATAGATTAAGTTAATTTTGTTAATTGGACTATAAATATTTATTTCTCTGGTACTTAATTTTCTTTTTCTTGGGATTATACAAAAAATAATTTAAGAGGATCTACTAATGATATTTAATTTTAACTATTATACAAATCATAAATTGATTCATTTAAACCTTCATGTCATTATTCTTGTTTAACATGATTCTAACTTATCCTGATCAAAGTTTTAGATACTTTCAAAAAAAAAGATAAAACCTGTGCTTGTTAATTAATATATGTTGATAAAGAAGGTGTTTAAGAATGCTAATTAGGAACAAAAGCATTCCCTCGCATTTAGACTAAGAAGTTGAACTAAGTTGTTAGCAATTATGCTATATCAATTGCAATTAGGAGAATAAAAGCTTAAATATTATTTTGAAGTATATTCTGGCTCTTAGATAACTTTTTAAGTTTGTTTGGTATTACCATATTATTTTGGTATAACATTACTTGTAAAATTAGAGGACAAACTTTTCATTAAATTCAGATTATTTGGTTTACATTTATAAAAAAAAGGAAAATGATTGTCTATTTTCATAAAATTTTGACAAATTTAAATGGAACTCGTAAACCTAATTTGTGTCAAGGTGGTATTAGTAAAAAACCTGCAGATATGGGTTCTATCAGGAAGATTAAGAATGTTAACCTTGTAGATAGGGTTATTAAAGATATAAAAATTCATTCAAAAGTGAAGTTTGCTTTTCTAATTAATATTTAAGTAAGGACAAATTATGCTTGCTATACAAAAATTGTTTAAGTTGTTACACATATAAAGATGGGACCTATACTTGAACTTTTTGTATTGGAAATTCAATTATAATTAGTTAGAAATGTATATCTTGTGTGGATTAAAGAGTCCGGTCAATCAAGATACTGTAATTATTGTCAAGGTTCACCTTCATAATAATATTTATCTAAGGATGGAAAGAATAGTAGGTTATGCAATATATACTATTTTGATTATATTATTCTATTGCAAACAAGTTTTGACATCAATGTAAAGTTGTAAATTACAATTTAGATAAGTATTAATGTAGATTGTGATTTTTGCAAAGAGAATTATCATTCATTTATAAAGGCGAGTTGAAATAATAGAATAATGATTGTTAATTTGCCATCATCTAAAATGAAGATTACAAGAAAATCTGTCCAATTAATAAAACAAATTATGATTCTGTTTAAGTGTCTAATTGCTTAATACCAAATTGTATTTTATGTATTCCCCATTACACAGAAAATGATTTCTTCTATATTGAATGTTAGGATGGATATTTTTCAAAAGTCCTTTCTGGTTAAATTATTTAGTGTGGTCAAAATTGCAAGACTTGCATTTAATAAAATAAAAAATATAGAGATTATTGGAAATGGAGTATTAAAGCATTTTATTAATTTGTTATTAATAATAATAATGACCATCCATTTGAAAACTATGCATCAAAGAATTTTGAATCAGATTTGAATTTATTTTGCACATCATGTCGCTATGGATAAATTTTATATGATTAAAAATGCATGTCATAATGTGATTAAATTTGTAATAAATATGAAATCATTGATGGAAAAGCAACATTTATCTAATGTTTAGAAACTATTTCTGGGTTTATTAAAAGTTAAAATGAAAATGGAAGTTTTTTGCAATGTCCTTCTAATTGGAAAGTCNTATTTTGGTATAACATTACTTGTAAAATTAGAGGACAAACTTTTCATTAAATTCAGATTATTTGGTTTACATTTATAAAAAAAAGGAAAATGATTGTCTATTTTCATAAAATTTTGACAAATTTAAATGGAACTCGTAAACCTAATTTGTGTCAAGGTGGTATTAGTAAAAAACCTGCAGATATGGGTTCTATCAGGAAGATTAAGAATGTTAACCTTGTAGATAGGGTTATTAAAGATATAAAAATTCATTCAAAAGTGAAGTTTGCTTTTCTAATTAATATTTAAGTAAGGACAAATTATGCTTGCTATACAAAAATTGTTTAAGTTGTTACACATATAAAGATGGGACCTATACTTGAACTTTTTGTATTGGAAATTCAATTATAATTAGTTAGAAATGTATATCTTGTGTGGATTAAAGAGTCCGGTCAATCAAGATACTGTAATTATTGTCAAGGTTCACCTTCATAATAATATTTATCTAAGGATGGAAAGAATAGTAGGTTATGCAATATATACTATTTTGATTATATTATTCTATTGCAAACAAGTTTTGACATCAATGTAAAGTTGTAAATTACAATTTAGATAAGTATTAATGTAGATTGTGATTTTTGCAAAGAGAATTATCATTCATTTATAAAGGCGAGTTGAAATAATAGAATAATGATTGTTAATTTGCCATCATCTAAAATGAAGATTACAAGAAAATCTGTCCAATTAATAAAACAAATTATGATTCTGTTTAAGTGTCTAATTGCTTAATACCAAATTGTATTTTATGTATTCCCCATTACACAGAAAATGATTTCTTCTATATTGAATGTTAGGATGGATATTTTTCAAAAGTCCTTTCTGGTTAAATTATTTAGTGTGGTCAAAATTGCAAGACTTGCATTTAATAAAATAAAAAATATAGAGATTATTGGAAATGGAGTATTAAAGCATTTTATTAATTTGTTATTAATAATAATAATGACCATCCATTTGAAAACTATGCATCAAAGAATTTTGAATCAGATTTGAATTTATTTTGCACATCATGTCGCTATGGATAAATTTTATATGATTAAAAATGCATGTCATAATGTGATTAAATTTGTAATAAATATGAAATCATTGATGGAAAAGCAACATTTATCTAATGTTTAGAAACTATTTCTGGGTTTATTAAAAGTTAAAATGAAAATGGAAGTTTTTTGCAATGTCCTTCTAATTGGAAAGTCTGTATGTATAGGGGTGAATCAGAAGTAAAAGAAGTTAATCCCTACTTTATTTCAAAGAATTAAAATAAATTTTAGACTAGAATATGTTATGAAAAATCACAAAAAATAAGAAAATTATTATTATTCTTATTCATTTCCATAAATTTAGTAGTTTATATAACAAATATGAGCAATGTTATAATAAAATTATTTACATTAAAACCTAGAGGAACTTCTACTTATTATGAATAATAATAATTATCAAATGACGAATATTTTGAAAGCATGAATGTATTTTTTTGTCAGCTATTTTGGTTATGGATACAAAAAAGTTTAGAGACATCTTAACTTTTTGATTATTTAAATTTCTGTAAGTCACATTTACTTCAAATATACCATAATTAAAGGGAAAAACCAAGATCATTAACATTATCTATTAATGAAGGTCAAACATTGCTAGAAAAGAAATATTGATATATAAAGAGATTATTTAACAAATTATTATTAATCCATAGAAGATATTAGGTTCCACTTAGAAAAATTATTAATTAATATTACCTTCTGGTATAAAAATAGCCAATTACTAGGTATATTGATTCTATCAAATCAAAATTTATTCCTTATAATTTATATTTAGGAATATTACTTTTGATAAGTTTTAGGAATAAATTATGCGGTTGTAAGATTCCTATTGAAATTTATATCCAAAAGCTTATTATTTAATTTCTTAAAAAGATTAAAATGATGCTTAATTTAGTCGATTCTAAGATGATGTTATATTTAATAAAACTACTGGTGATTATAATTTAGATAATCTAATTGTTTTCTTCAATCCAACTTATAATCAAGATATAGTTCTTCTATTGTTAATTGAATTCAATAGTGTTTCATTCCCTTAATCAGAAGAGAGTCATCCTTTTTTAACTTATAATTATGTCACAAATTATTAATTACATGTGGACTTAAGAACATTTTCTTTTAAATTAGGTGGATTCTTCAATCAATCTTTAGGTGGATGTGTTTTTTATGATACATTGAACATCATATTAAATGTCTTAGGCAGCTCAAACTTGTAGTTATAAAGATGATTCTAAAAATAAAATCTTAGGAATCAAGTATGATAGAATTAAGAGAGCATTATTGGAGAGCATATTATTATAGTTTAACTATTGAGCATTGTTAAAATTGGGAGGAGAATTACAAAAGTGGTTGGAAACCTGGAGATGAATCGTGCATGATAGAAAATATTGGAGCTTTATGTGAGGAGTGTGATTTATATAATTCTAGAGGAAGTGGATCTTATTCTGTAACTTCAGCTTATTCATATAGATAATTGTGATTTAATAGCTTATAATATTATCAAAATGATATTTATAATTCTTAGGACTTTGATTACAACTTTAATGTCGGTAAGTAGCACTAGAGAAATGATTGAGGAATTTGTTAAAGGTATAAGCTTGAAGACTTTTGGATTTAGAGTAGCAATAAAAGAAGTCCTAACTGCTATTCTTATCAAAGTATTAATCTCTTCACATCATTTCAATTATTTCTACCTTTTAATAACAAGTACCAGCAGGATTAGCCTCAGTTTTCAATACTGTTGATAATCATATTCAATCACTTGCTAATACTTTAGATTATTTCTTATTTAATATCACATATATTGATAATATACTTTCGAATAATTTGGCTTAATTATGACTTCTTAATATATAATAGTTATTTTTACTATAGTTGCAATTCAATAATTACTAAAACACGACTTAATTTTTCTTATATATCTACATCTTTATTGATTTATTCATATTGTTATTTCCAAATTTAATAGGAGGAATAATTTCACTATGAATATTGAATTTAAGGGAATGTGGTCTATAAGTATGATACAATTAAACATGCTAAATGGATTATCAAATTTTGCTTATCATTATTAACTACATTCGGTTGCATACTTCCTTGCTTTTTGTGATATGGAGTCTTTAAAAATAAAGATCGTCTAGATTTTTCTAAAGTAAGAAAAGCATGAGGATATTTGTATAATGAGTACAGGATTCATGTTTATTTCTGGGTAACACTAAACATAAAGCGAGAAGAAATCATTACGAAATGAATTTAGAAATCTGAGGAAGCTTAACAAAATTAACTGATTATAAAGTTGATAACTACCAAGTTAACCGGTTTTAAAGAAACATATTATTTATTCGCTAAAAAAAGAGATATAAATGTAAAACCTTTTGCAATTAAATATACCCTCAGTTATGTATAAGGTATATGAAGACATAATGCTACGTTCTTCAAAATAATAATTAAAGATTTGCTATTCGATCATTTCATCATTACTATCAATGAACTAATATCATTAATAGGACAAAGTATATTGTAATGAAATGTAGAAGAAAGATTTTCATTTATTAACACATCACATTGTTAGATTAGAATGGTAAAGGTGGATCTAAATTTTTGAGGTTAAAAAATCGGATTGAATTTTGTACAATGATATATTCTGAATTGAGTATCACTTTTTTTGATTACGTCTTATAATCAATAATATAAGTATATAAACGAATTAGGCTATTTACTACTATTTTTGATTATATAAAATAAGTATCTTGGAATATATGTAATGGAATAATTTGATTAGCTGATAAAATTGTATATTCATTAAAAAAAATTTCAAAGCTTTTCAAACTATTTTAAATTTTCTGTATATATGTTCGTGAGCAGAAAGAAAATTTAAACAAAAGAAAGAGTTAATAGAGCAACCATCTAAAAATTAATTTAAAAGAAAATTAATATTGGGGAATTAATTTTAAGCAATAACCTGATAAAAATTAATTGATACATGTTTTGAAAACTTTAAAGTCGAATTCGCAATCCTTTTGTGACATTTAAGCTTAGAGATTATTTTTATGAGCTTGATCTTACATCAGTGAAAGGAGTAATAAGAAGTTTTTTCAGAATTTCAAATGTTGAGAAAAATAAAAAAAAACAGCGTCATTAATGAGATTTAAAAAGAAGTTGAAGTTTTAGATGAAACAATTCAAAATTGGCTTTTTTGATATTCCTTACTTATGTTATTTTGCAAAATAAATAAAATCTGAAAATAATTTAAAGTTTCGATTCAAGATTATACCTTATGAATTTTATATAAATATATACGAAATGCAATATGTACCCCATAATCCCTAAAAATTTTATTTTTTCTTCTTAATCATATTCCAAATGACTTTATTTTAATCGGATCATTTCTATTAATTATCTCCTTTATTTCAATGAGCACAGGCCTATATACTACGTAGCCATGATTTTTCCCTTTACTGATATCCTTTATTTTAGGTTTGATTGGCTCTTTCTGTAAAATATTTTCTCTAAGTACAATTACTTCTCTTTCGGTTCTTTGTAATTTTTTATTTTTTTAGAGCCTTATTTTGATTTCATATTACAACTAGATTAATTTTCGTTTTCTTCAATTTTTTCCCTTTCATATGAATTTCAATATTTCATCGCGATGGTCGATATTCATTAAATCATCCATATAATTTGGTTTTCTAAACTTTATTGAAATGATTAAATAGTTTTTAGCATTCCAATTAAAACTAATTAAGAATTTTGAATATTTTTAAATAAAGATTTTTCTTTACTATCTTGTGTAAGGGATTAAAAGCTTTTATACTAATTCTTCTAAGAAATTTTTTGGCTTATACTTTTCACTCTTATCTGATTTCTTAATACGAAAATTTCTTCTTGGCATTTTACTTGATTGTGACCCTGAAATCAAACTATTGTTCTTATGATAGATTAATAATATACTTCTATTTCGATCAGCAATATTTTTCTACAGTGATTCCTAAACGAGGTAAAATAAAGCAAACGACTCATATTAAATATTCTCTTTCAATAAGTTGTCCAATAAATTTTTCAAAATAGATTCTGCAATTTTTCAAAAAAGGTCCTTATGACCATTCTTTTTTAAAGTATTCCTTATTTTCTTTTATATACGAATATTATCCTTATTTAAAGAAACATCAATGCTTATATCTATGATTTAGATCTTTTATGGTTGTTGAATGTACACTTTTTTCATATTTAAACTTTTCGATATTCAATTTATATTTTTCCATCTGATCATTATTTTAGACAAGCCAAAATCTTTAATCCAAAATAAAAAAATCCAATTTCTTTTCTTGAGTGATAACTTTTCTAGTTTATAAACTACTAAATTATTTTCTACTTTTTTGGATCATCTGTAAAATGAAGTATAAATTTATGAAAATTGCTTATAGTATTTACTTGTTAATTTAGAAAGCTAAGGATTTTGCTAAAATAAAAGATGAGACCTATATCGATATAAAATATCATCTTTGTAAATTTCTGGAATTGGGATGGGCATATGCTGATAGAATTAAGAAATAAAGAAGAGAGTGTTTACAGTCAAAAGTTGGAACTAAAATTTAAGATGAATAACTTTAAATGAACAGAACCGTTTATAAATTTCTATTTTTCCTGGATCTTCTGTGTTAAAAATGTGAAAGACCAATTCTTTTTCTAAAGCTATTCTTTCTTTCTTTTCAGAATTTTTATTACAAAATTTATGCGCGTCATCAATGATGCTTACTTGGGGAGCTAGTCGCTCAGACACATAATATAATTTGTTAGAAATGATTCCATCAGATCTGAAATATATAATATAATTTAACGAACAACCATTCAGATTCTTGGCAAAATGTTTGGAGGATCCCTTGATAAGGATACGATATGCTAATATCTTTGTAATTAACAAAAGAAAATAATCCAAGCATGGCTTTTCATGGATTGTATATTGTAGAAAATCATTTAAAGTGAGACAAAATCATGGCGCTATGAAATTCAGGTAATAGCTTAGAATATGCATAAAAATAATCTGATATATAAATCAAAATTCTTTCAAATACATAATTATTTTCCATTAGATATTTTTTTCTGTTAAAAATATTTAACAAGTTGGAAAATAAGATCATAATTAATAAAAAAGAGTAAATACCTTATATTTACTCATTATGAGAAAAGATATAAAGTATAAATTTAATTCTAGCTTTCAGGTTCATTCAATTTCTCCCGTCTCATAAATATTCTACAAAGCAAAATAATTTCTTAACTTAGTTAAATTTTCGAAAGAATAGACAAGAGATTCATATTGAATACTTTTAATTTTAAGTATTTTTAAGAAATTCATTAATTAGAAGTTTATAATATAATAGCCTAACATAAAAATTGCATTAGATTTATATTTAAAAGCGACCCAAAATATATTTCATTTTAGATTATTTATTTTTAATATACTCGATAACTTTATAATTAGATTGATTGATAAATAGAATTAAATTTTGTTAAATTTAATAATGAATACAAAATTATCATCATTAGCCTAGGTCTGATCAAAAATTTAGAATTATATTCTTTATTTGTTCTGGTTATTTTCTTTCATACAAGCCCTTTAAAATAAACTACAATTTTATTAACAATTATTTGAAAAGTACAATAATCAAATTTAATAATAGAAGGCCCATATGTATAAATCCTGTACTTTTGATAGTTTCATTAGAAAAGTATATCCTATTTATATCATTATAAGGAAAGCAGGTTAAGCTAAACATAGCTATAGTTCCTTCATTTAGTATTGAAATTATTTTATCCAAAATCGAACTTTATTCATATTTGCTAATAATCAAGCATTAAGATAGGCTGATAATTGATAAAAATAAAAATTACAAGGTAGGGCATTCTTAAAAAAAAATCAAAACAAAATGGTATATAAATTTTCTACACAAATCCAAGGATAAAAATATTCTTGATTCAAAATCATATTTATTCTCTGACTTCCCCTTTTTCCTTAAAAATTCAATCATATATGAACCATATGTATATATCAATAGAAAACTACCTATCAGTTGAATAT